AGTTTTGGGGACCAATCCCTGGCCAGGAATTGCTGCAGCCGGTCCCTGGGGTGAATGAACCATTACGCAATTGCTCCTTATTGCCCTTTCTCGACAACAAAACGATCAATTGGTTCATCCACCTCTGCAGAAATTGGGATTACTGTAGGCGATACGGAAAAATTGCACCAAAATCCCTTTCCTTCATTAGTATAGACCTGAGTTTTCACCATGATCTGCCAGTTTTATCCAAAATTATCAAGATCTTCCAGCACCACAACCCGACGACCTGCACCGCCACCTCCAGCTCCAACCACTCGACCAGCTCCTTCCACAACTAGAGCTCCTCCTGCAACGACAACAACTCGCGCGCCAGTACGTAGCAGCTCTCCAAACGCGGCACGATGTCAAGCAATAATCCAAGATCCGCTAGTATCGGCCGAAGAGATGTGGAGAGAGAAACTAGTCGTTTCTACAGAAGGTCAGCTCCAACAATGCAGGATGTTAGACAGTGGTCGAGATCTCTTTTACAGACAATTCTAACCGGAGAACAGTGGATTTGGACGCGGTAATTCGATCAAATCTGGCGAATGTTTGTGTTCCGCGACTGGACGAAAGCAATTGCGAAAGAAATACTTGCTATAATGCATACTTCAGGTGAATACCCTGATTCTACGGTATTTTTTCCCATTGAGAGGGTTTTAATAATTGTCATAATACTTAAGGACCATGGACGGGACATGCAACAATCTCCAGCATCCATTGAGAGGAGCCGCCTATCGCCCTTATACTCGTCTTTTGCCAACTGTTTATGACAATGGCCTCTCGGAACCAGTCGGTAAGGACTTGGAGGACTTTCTAATCCTTGAGAGCTTCACCTTTTTTCCTGCTTCTATAGCCACTTGTGTTCAGGATCAATGAACCCTCAACTGCGCCCATCTCCTCGAGCAATCACTCGACATCTCACGTCCTCTCATGCCTCGGTTGTCTCTGAGGACTACAACGCTATGGTTATGCAGTTCGGACAGTTCATTTCGCATGACATGGCAAAGGTAGAGCTAATTTGACCTTGGAAACCTGTAATGAAGCACTACCCGCTTATGCCTATGTGCTGTTCCTATGCCCCATTAGGGGAGGAAGAGCCTTTCTAGGAGCGCCTTGCCTCCTAACGGTCAGCACCTTATTTGTCAAATGTCCAGGAAAAGGCACTGGATCAAAAAGCGCCAGCTAAAGGGGAGCAGATGGTGCTGTTCAACTCTCGGCCGTGGATTTCCTCCTATACCGGCATACCGGAACTCATGGCCGAGTCCGGAAGAGTGGGTTCGACATCTATAGCCTACGACTTATTAAATGGGGAATTCGGCGAAATAGCTCGTGCGCATTCCGGCCAACACCACAGTTGTGGGGGGGGGGGGTACCGTGATGAAAGAATCAATTTTGTAAGTGCACGAAGGAATTTTGGCGAATGTTACTTTTTCTAAACGTTGCTAGTAAAGAATGTCAAAATTTCCCACCTGAACAAAGTAAAAACGACTGGTCCTTCGTTGCGACCGCCAAGACAGCCTCCTGCTCATCGCGGTCAGATGTGGTCCCAAGAGGAGATCATTCGAAGCAGGGTCACGTAGGCTGACCACGTTCGATAGTGGAATCCATATCTGCGGTTTTCTATAAGGTCGTATTTGGGTAGGCTCTCTTCCAAACTTCTATGGACAGGGGAAGGTATTGGGTGACTTTTTTTTAGGGTGTGGCTTTTAGGAGGGGTCGTGTCCTCCTAGAAAGGGAATGATCGTGCACACTTTTCAACAACTATGCTACCTAGCGACGCGATGGTAGACCTGTGATTTGAGGTATCCTAACTCTTGTGTGCTGGACGTATCTCGTAATCTCTGGACTTTGCAGCCATTCGGTGTATGCTATACGTGTTATGAGCGCGACTAGAAGCAACAGCTGGTCTCGTGCCATTCCATACTGAATTGGACCATCAAGGTGGAATTGGGTTGACCATGAGATTAAGAAGGGAATCTTCTCAATCAATTCACATCTTAAGCACTGTGACGGAATCGCAGAATCCGTAAAATTGCAGTATTTAAGTGCGACTACAGAACGAACGGCTTGTTGCACTCTTACAAAACGATCATTAGAAGTGAATAAAATTTAGCACCTCACTGAAACCAGTCACATTACCTTATAACAACTTATTGCAGACCACATTGGTACCGTCCTGCCAAGTGCAACGTCTGTCAGAACATCACAAGTCGTTGTATGGCGGTGTCGATCGCAAGCGACGACCCAAACGCTGGGTAAGTTCATACTTTTGTAAGGGTTCTTCAGTTGGCGACCCAAGCCCATAGGGAGTAGGTGAGTAGGTGCAACCAATGCATATCGATTTACTTCACGATCGATAAGTACATTTTTCTTCTCACCTATCCGCTATTTGCCCATTCGCCTAAATTGCCAATTAAACAATATTTGAAAGTCCAATCAGAGAAACCTAACGTACTTCATTAAAGGCGTTCTCGTTCCGCGTCCTATTGGCTGGTTATTTTTTGATCACACCATCAGTTCACCTTCCCTGAAAATCTCTCCAAAATTGCGTCTTTCCTTTGTTAATGATTCTAGACCAGAATTTCAGATTCCGCCGCAATGGATGTGTCCGAGTCTCTCGATCGTCACCGATTTGTGGATCTGGTAATCAGAAACCCAGACAACAACTCAATGAAAATACAGGTATGGAACAAAGGTTAAAGGCGTATTCTGCGATCGGATCACTGAACCGTTACTCTGATGAATAAGGCTTCTGGGTCCACGACCTCAAAAATAAGGCCACTTTCCATCTCTTCAGCCGAAACCGCGCGAAAAAGGGCGCCTGTGTTTTGGAGCTTGCAGGATGGGCGTGCGTGGTTGCACGAACTCCTCATGCAACCACCCCCGCCCACCATTATGCTGTCTGCTGCCTTGCTTCCCTCTTTTCGCTTCTTATACCTTCTCGTTTTCTGTCATCCTATCACTTTAGTAATTATTTCCTAGAGGGCGTATTTTCTTTCTAGGTTCTGCTATCATCCAAAAAAGAGGCTCGAGAGCTTCCAGCCTTTTTTCTTTTTTCGTTAGCAGTCAGGCAGCACCTGCTGTTTCCTTTTTGAACCCTATAAGTCGTGTTCGCTATAGCGCGATATTTCTTTGAGGTATTATTGAACCTCTCCCACAAAGATTCTCCTTTCCAGCTTACATTGATGCATCACCCATTTATGGCTCATCCGTAGCCGATATGTCCAAGTTCCGTGAAGGGCGCACGGGTTTCCTCAAGCTGCCCTCTTTCCATGGAATGTCAAGTAAGTTGCTTCAATTGCTTGGTTTTTAGGTTGTTTTTTTTTGCTGGATCGTCGTCATCGTTTCCTTGGTAATTTTGGAAATTCGACCAAATTGTTTACATTTTTGTAAAAGAGCTGATTTTCTCAGGACCTTTTGCTTTTTACTATGGGAACAATTTATATTTACACTGCTAAACTGTTCTGCAAAATGAGGACCGAAAAACAGTTACGGCAATAGTTTCTGTCAAGGTCAGCTTCCTCCAGCGAAATGCAAGGCATGATGAATTGAACTAATCGAATTTTGACTGATTTTGCTGGAAGGAAACCCATCAAATGCGAAGTTTTTTCTCACGCCTTTCCAACTGATGAATTAGGTTGCCCATAGAAAGTGGGCAAATGAGGGAAACGGCTTGCTTCACAACTGGAACTCGGTCAATGGGTTCGAACCTAACGCACATCAGTCATGGCTGCTAACCGCTAACTTTTTGACTCCTGGTAGTACACATGAATGACAATGAATATTAATCACCGCAATGAACCATAGCGAGAATTCGGCCTTTAATTGCTCCCCTTTTGGAATGCGCCACGTACCCTACTTCCATTTGAAATATTAGTTACACTTTGAATGCAGATCGGCCCTATACAATGACTTACGGGGGCCAGCCGATGTACAAGTCAGTGTTTTTATCCTCCCAGACAAGTCTGGTACCAATTAACCGATCTGGAGGATTCGCCCCGTGGGCACGACCAGAAATTCGATCCCGGACGCGCACGTTGTAAGTATCGCGGCCATTCGCCTTGATGGTTGGTTCGCCGAGGCGCCGCCCAGGAATTCGATCCCCGACCGCACTGTCCGTAGTAGCGCCAATTTCCACCTCCCCACTTGCCCTTTACAATGCAACGAAAATATGCACCACGGCGTCAATTGTTATCGAAGCGCAGACGCTCGAAACTTCTTGGAATTCCTGTGCATCGTCTTCCTAATATGTTGTAGATAAACAGATATTGAGATTTTTTCGGAAACACATTTTTATACTGCCATAAACATCGCCTCGTACCTGTTCCATATTGTAAGGCCAAAACACGCATTCCAATGAGTGAACGTTTCCGGAAAAGAGACAATTACATGGCGCATCTAGAAAGGAGAAATTTTTCATCAATAAATATCCCCATAGTTTTCCGACGTGTTTTTCCTAAAAAAACATGTATTCCATGGGAGAAAATCAGCAAACAATCTGCTTGCCAGCCGAAGAAGATTCTGGCTTCTTGTCACCAGGCAATTTGCGAATGTTTACTTATGAAAACTGCAACCGGTAGAAGTTACCGGTTCCAGCTCGATATCGAACGGAAATTCTCTTTTTTCTCTCCAATGGGAACGTGACTTTTCATTGTTGTTCATTTCCTCCGAGTTGAAAGGCGAGAATCTTGCCGTTATACGAATTATAAGTTTTTACTTACGAACGATTGAAGTTTTCATCGTTCGCTATTGAAAGTGCAGTCCATTTCTTACATATCGACCGCTAGGCATGACGATGGCCAACGATCGCTCAAGCATTCAATATCAGAGCGGGGGTCATGGGACAGGGGATAAAGGCGCGACGTTACAGCTTGTCACTCCTTACAAGTAGGCCCCAAAGTCAAGGCCTACGTCTTCAACTTCCATGTTCCTCACTCAATGACGTACGCAGCAAAGACGTGGAGCACCACAGTTTCTGAGATGGAAACTCGCAGTCACTCAGCGAGCCATGGAGAGGGCCATGTGCGGGTGTACCGCTCCGAGACCGCGCACCCAACGACACCATTCGTGCTCGTACGATGGTTTAGGATGTCGTGGATGCCATAAAGAATCCCAAGCGGAGGTGGGCCGGTCACGTGGCTACACTCAATGGTGATCGTTGGACCAAGAGAGCGACTGACTGGTATCCAAGGGGGAAAACAAGGCCGAGAGGCAGACCCCACCCGATGCAGACCCTCTCTCGTATAATATGCGGCCACATCTTCCAAGAGGCTGTTGCTCTGCGTCTTGAAGATTGTGGCCGTACAATTTTTCTTTCAAGAGGCAGAAGCACAGCCTCTTGGAAAATGTGCGACATGCTTTTTGGCGTGCCCGGGACGAATAGCGGTAGAGAAGTAAAGAGTAAGAAGAGTAAAGTTTTGGAGACTTTCAGCTCTCATCCTAGGCAGGGGAGGGGATCCCCATAGATCGCGCGATCCATTAGAACCTGGTCAGTCATTAGGCTCGCCACAAAAAAATCAGAGGTGACCTACCTGACGAGCATGGCTGATATATACCCGTGACGGCTCGGCAACTCGGCTTCTTTGCGAATTAGCCAGGTACCTGCCTGATTATGGGCAGGTGAACCCTAATTGGGAAATTAACTGGCTCCCGCAAGTCAGGGCTGACTGCCCGGAAGTCCAGTGCAAGATTGATCTCGTGAGAATTGGTCAATGGAAGCTACTTCATTCCTCCTTCAAAGGCACATCGTGGGAGGAGTTCAGGTGGACAAAGCTTTTTGGCGACTAGAGTAAGGCCGTAGATGTCTTGTTCGCCTAGCTCTGAAGTGCGCCATGGCTTACGAAGACCGCTTCGGTCGCTTTCATTTTTCTGCCCGCAGCATGCTGGTGTCGTGCTCTTACGTCTTTCCTCTCTCCTCCTTGCTCAGTCCCTCATTGCTCCAGCACGAAATAGAGCAAGCCTTTAACTTCAGCATCGGATTCTTTCCTTTTCTTTCTCACTGCCCCCCCCCCCACCAACACTTCATTTTCATATTTGATATTTTTCATGAGGGAGCCACAGTATCTGGATACCAGGGCGTGCTTCAACTTCGATGATGACTGTGGCTTTCCGTGCATGTTGGCATTTTTCCCATCGGTAGCATTTACCCGTTCGATAATTCCATTATTTATACAGAGTATATTATGTTCCGAATCCTGACTAAAATGGGCAGTGGAAATGCAGTGGGACATGAAGAATGGGATAAAAAAAATAGAAAATAGAAATAGAGAAAAAAATCGAGAAGAAAGTATCACCTCCGTGAAGATGCGGGCCACTATTGTGCCACACTTTCGTCAATGGTAAAGTCTCAACCTTAGACAATTTTAGAGTCGAAAACTATGCGTGTCATCCCTAAAAAATTGGTGACAGATTGCCGATAATTCATTTTTGAAAGATTAAACGGAGGTACCCTCATATAATGAGAGGTCCGCAATGTATAAAAATGAGTCTTCGCCTATCCAGTTATCAATTGTTTCAGTGTTACCATTCGACCAATCCAAGTGCAGAAGTCGCACCTCATGTACGGTAGTGTTCACAGCCGGAGACAGCCGAGTGAATCTGTTTGTTGGATTGTCGGCTTGGCATACGATATTCACCCGAGAACATAATAGGTACGTTTCCTTCTTATGCTCGGGGTGGACCTCGCACTTGAAAGAACACATCATTTCAGAATTGTGACTACTCTTTCTCGGATAAATCCCCACTGGAACGGCGATCGACTCTATCACGAAGCCCGAAAAATTGTTGGAGCAGAAGTACAGGCCATAGTCTACAGGTTAGAGAGTTACTGTTCACACTCCTATATTCTCGAAAGTCTAAGCCCTCAGCTTTAATCTGCAGAAAGCGCCAGCGTCGGCACAATCCCTTTATATACAGGGGGGGGCCAAAAAAAAAAAAGACATTTTGCCTATGTCGGACTTCGGCTCTTTTTTCTTCGCAGAGATTGCTGTCGTTGACGGGAGTTCCTCAGCAGAGTATTCCCTAAGTGTTCCTCTATTAGTGTACGCAGGCTCTCCTTCACTGCCCTCACCGTCTTCAGAATATGACGTCATCTGTCACCGTCGTCAGGCTCAAGGAGGTCTACCGTAAGAGCTTCAGCCTGAAGCTCTTACGCAATTTCGTGAATCGATTTAATGTTGGATAGTTTTCTAGAGGCATTAGCTACCACTGTGCAAATCCCCTCGGAACTAGCTTTCCAGTAAGGGTCGTTATGGTACACGATCCTTCGAAGACCCCATTGAGATCGACCAGTGCACCATGTTTCCAGGGCTAATTCTTCTGATGCCGTCCACGTACGTGGCCACTATGAAGATTTTCTTATAGAATGGAATGCACTCTTTAATAATAAGTTGGAACCGTTCGGTCTGAGTTGAGTAAAATGTGCTTAAATCCATCTGGAAGTGGAGGCAAAATGTCTTTTTTTTTTTTTGGCCCCCCCCTGTATTTGCATATAAAGATCCCACCCTCTTTTTCGTCGGTCACTCGAAGTGGACATTTTTTTGGCCATCTTTCAGCAGTTGAAGAGCTTTTCTGATACCCAGTAGTTGCTCTGTTTCCACATCCTAGCTCATAATGAAGGTCTCCAATTATGCTACTTTTCGGGTGAATCTATCTGGTCTATCGCTGCCACATTGATAGGGGGAGGTCGTATTTTAGTTACAGAAAGGGCGTCCATGTCCACTTCGGGATGGGGAAAGGCGGCTGACCTTTTGAATAAAGTTACCTTTTGAAAACATCCATGGTTTGCGAAAAGGCGTTGCTTAAAGCCAACAGTCCAAGAAGGGTTTCAACCATTCGGGGTTTTTAAGGGTGGAAACATGCCCCAGCCCAAGTGATGCTCATAGGAAATGTCACTGACTTCAAAACTTACCTTTGAAATGCGTTGGAAGGGGTCGAAATCCTTCGAAAAGGGCGGTCTACCGAGCCTCGGTGGGGCCGCCCATCTGCAGCCGTGATTGGCTGCGGAGGCATTCGTGATCGTTTTGGGACCACAGGGAGTATTTGAACTCGGTCCTTTAAAATCAATGTGGTGCAATCAGGGTCAACCCTATCGTTGTTACTCTTCGGAAATTTTTTACGACCCCCCCCCTTCAGGGGTGGTTTGATACGACCCCCCCTTTGTATGTAACACTTGTGTAGAGACAGTGTTTACCATCAATATTTATTTCTACGTAAGTCATTAAAGATGAAACTTTAGCAAAATCCACGACAGAAATTCATCGCTGCTTGCAAACACGAAAAAATGAGATGCATTCAAAGATATCCGTGTACTCCAAAGGGTTACCAAACTAGGAGATGAAATAAACTGAACCAGTGACCGGAATATTGACAACATTACCTGATAAAAACTTATGAGAAGTCAGAAAAAATTATCGCTCCAATTGAAATACTGAAATCCTTCACGTTCTTCAATTGCAACACAATTTTTACACCCCTCTTTCTAAGGCTATAACTTCCTTCATATTCGAGCTTCTGCGAAGTGATTTGATTTGGAAAAATTCAAATTATTCTCTCTCCAACCATGGGTAAAAATTCTTCGGAAGTTAATTTAGTAAAAATTTTGTACGTTGTTACTTTTTTCTGTGCAAAGGCGACTTTTTGACCTTCAAACGATCATAACTTCCTTCAAAGTCATTCATTTGGGAAGCTGAACACGTATAATAAACTACAGGATTCAAGCTTTCTAACGAGCACCCAAGCGTTCCTGAAAGATCAGTAGTTCAAAAATTAGTCCCGTTGTTACTTTTTTGGGGGTTTGCGTTACTATTTTTTTGGAACCGCGACTTTTTGACCTTCAAACGATCATAACTTCCTTCAAAGTCATTCATTTGGGAAGCTGAACACGGTGTAATAAACCACAGGTTTCAAGCTTTCTAACGAGCACCCAAGCGTTTCTGAAAGATCAGCAGTTCAAAAATTAGCCCGTTGTTACTTTTTATTTTGAGGGGTATTCTTCAAGCCATTTTCTCGAAAACGCGAGTTTTCTTAGGTTTCACTGCCCGTAACTTCTTGGAAGACCAATTTTATGTTTAATTAGGATGTGCTAGAAAGCTCCGAGCATGCGCTTGCACTACATCCCTTGCCTTGGTGCGCGCCACGCCTCGGGCGCCCTTCTAATTCGCTGATTCATTTGAAAGCTCATTTAGAGGGAATCGTGGTTTATAGATGCTGTATCAGTCATCTTACGAAAACGTAACGTGCTGGCTATTATCCGATATTACCAAGAATCCCACTGTCGGCCACCGAGAGGGTACGACCCCCCTCCCTCCAAGCTCAACTGAGTACGACCCCCCCGTTGTTACTCGTAACAACGTAGGGTTGACCCTGGTGGAGGCCGACTGCGGCTGGGAGTAATAACTTCGTCACCTTTCATACCTGTTCAAATTATAAAAACTATTATTTCCACTATTGCCGCCCATTGCAATTAGAGGCAAGTACGCAGCTTCTATGCTGGCTATTTTGTCAGCAATTGTAACAATGGAGCGCATCTAGTACTGCGGGCAGGTTCAGGCAACTCGTCCAACAACGCGTCTTCCTCCACTGCTAAGTGGCAGAGGGAGAGTCTCTTTCTAAGTCCCTGTTCGACGTTTTCTTTTACTTTTTCTTTCATTATCTGTCAACTTTTCTCCTACAACTTCATTATCGGTGGTTTTTGCCCGCAAATTCGTCTTGGATTGTTGCATTAAGTGTGATGGGCGGTGGCCGATGATCCCTGTCTCGAATGGTGGCGCATGGAGCGGAGGGACAGGGCGCGATTGGTGTCGTGAAAATTTTTGGAGATCGACACAGCGGACGGTTATAGGATTTGAGATTTTAGGCGGGAAGGGGGAGGGGGAGTAGGGTGTGCCTAACCACGTGGGAACGTAGAGGTGTTAGGACAAGTGAGCCTAAAACGAAGAGGTAAACGAAGAGGGTAGGTAAAAGAAACAGCGGGTAAAAGAGCCTAAATGAAATCGTTAAAAGGGAGGCTTACGCCAACGTTCTTGAATGGGCCTGAAGATCATTACTTCTTCTGTTGTATCTATCACTTCTGTTAGCTTACTTATCTGCCTAATGAGCATCTTCATCGTCTCTGGCAATCCTTCATATTGTTAGGAAATCAGTGCGAGCGAACGTGGATGGGGGGAAGAATTCTTGCAGTCAACTACCGAAATGGGTGTTTGGAAGCTTTCCAATAGTGTTCCTACAGGGACTCCCCTAGTTGACCGCTAGACGCACACCTTTGGTTCTCACACCCATTTTGGGCTCGCTCACCAGTGCTCCTCAACTCATGCTACGACCTCTCACACAAGCCCTCAACGGGGAGTCGTAAGACCCGGTGAGACGCATTCTTGCTCAAGGGCAATTTATAAGGGAAGCGTCACTCCTCATGCCACATTCTGGTCTCGATCAATCTCCATAGAATCACCCTGAAATCACATAGGTCCGCCCGAAGATAAGTCTGCTTGCCAATGTGAGCGCTATCAGTATAGCGTGAAAGTTGATCAAGAAATTGTTTATTAGTTGTATCTTAATTAATTTGATTGCTTTTCGTTTTTCTTTTCTGAAAGAACCCCTTAGAAAGCCTTAGTCGTGCAAAAAAAGGCGGGACAAACCAAAACATGTGTCCTTTCACAAAAATGAAGCGCAGTTATTTATGGGATTCTGAAATGGATTGATACCAGCAGGGCATTACTCATTAAATGGATGTGGAAAAGCCCATAAGCCAGCTGTTCCCCAGTTCTTGCATGATTTTTCACATTCTTGTTTAATTCCAGAGAATGGCTGCCGAAGATCTTGGGTGCAGCGTTCTCTTCAGTGGTCGGTGACTATCGGGGCTATGATCCGTCGGTCGACGCCACGATTGCCAACGAATTCACTTCGGCTGCCTTCCGTTTTGGTCATGGAATGATTCAGGTGATCGCAAAACCCTTTAGGCCATCCTAATCGTCCCTTTTGTTCCAAAAAGACCATTTTCCAGGAGTTTTACCAACGGCTTGATCCCAACTTTGGTAACTCGTCTTTTGGAGCACTCGCACTTCAAAAGGGAACATTACATTCGGATGTTCTTGTAAACGAGGTATGACGAATCAGATTATGATCGTTTATGTGACAGTTTATATTCACTTATTTTGTTATACGGTAGTTTTCCAGGGAGGACCAGACCCCTTGGTAAGAGGTATGTTCACGCAGAATGTCAAGCGACCACAACGAGTCACCACGACCGTTACGGAGAATATGTTCGGCTCAACAGATCTCAGCACCATAAACATTCAGGTAAGCTAACCCTTTCGAGGGCAATAGCCCAGGATTCTTGTTCCGTTACCGAGCTAAAGAACCCAATTTTGCTACAATTTTTTTTAGCGAGGACGCGATCATGGCCATCCAAGCTACTCGAAGTATCGCGAGCTGTGCGGCATGGGGGTCGCCACCAGTTTTGACCACGTAAGTGACACCTATTGGGCATTGGACCGAAATTACAATGAGTTTTGTTGCCAAAGTTGTGATTATCTTCAGTTGTCACGAGAAATCCTCAACACAGCAACTCGCGAGAAGTTGGAGAAAATCTACGGCAGTGTTGACCGAATCGATCTCTGGGTTGGAGCTCTACTTGAAGACCCTGTAGTTAGAGGTCTCGTAGGGCCAACTATAGCATGTATTGTTGGGCCTCAGTTCAAGAGGACGAGGGACGGAGACAGGTAGGATAACAGTTCCTCTGAGAAAAACCATTTGGACGGAGGTCTCAACCTGCCGTTTCATCTTTATTTTTTTTAAGAGAAATATCAGTAAAGGAAAACGTTTATCGCAAGAAGATGAGTTTGAACGGTGAGGCCTAACCGTGGATGTTTGCTCTTGAAATTTCTTACGGAATTTTTTTTCAAGAAGATGAAACAGACGATACGATTGTGAAAGCGTCCAAGGAAAGGCACTGCAATCCCCAAAGAAGCCTTCTGCACTCGGGTCCTAGTACATCCTATGAAATTTCGATAGGGGTAATTACCTATTGAAGCCGATCACAACGCAGCATGACAGATCTTTTGCCTTTTTTTGACACGTGGTTACTACTCTCAGGCGTGATTTTTTGCGGCTTGCGCGCGCGCTCAGTTCGGTTTAAGCAGATTGAATGTAAATTACTACAGACTAGAACCATCAATTCAAACCAGATCAGATAGAGAGTGCAAAACCCAAACCAGTGGCGGTACAGTAGTGGAATGTCGATCGAAAAGACATGGACAGTGACAACGAAGAAAAACATTGCGAAAGTGTTTCAAACGAGCACTGTCGATTTGCGACCTCAAAAGCGGACTCTCTCACGATATATTTATGCAATCTAAATCAACCCGGTTTTTGTTATGCTCTAAGGTTCCGTATCTACGTCTTAACTACTATTTTAAAATCTTTCACACGTAAGTAAGAAACGAAGTTAAGCGTGAATAAATTTATTGAAATGAAGATTTCGTATGGTTCAGAAATCCCTCTCTAAATTAAAGTATACGTGACCATTCTAAGGGCCACTATGTTTGTAGCTACGTCAAGGTCTCTTCCATGGAATGAATACAAGAAACTTCTAAAAGAATCAGGCGTGCGCGAAAAAAATGAGTGTAATGGGTGCGGGGGATATATATCCCGCACGGTCCGACGTCATGTCACTTAAACAGTGACGCCCCATGCTATGGGTTCGTGAAAGACCTAAGGGTGGTTGGGGGTTAACTTGCGAGTTTTGGCCGCAGTCGGGCCTTACGAGGTGTCTCACAGGAATGCTGGGTAACTAAGAAACATTTGAAGCGTCCAGCACGGAATTCGAACCACACCTTCTTCTCTCTGAGCCGGGCAATTATTCCGGCTAGTGATCTGTGGATGATGTGGTAGCCTAACTACGCAATGACTCTTCAATCCCAGCTGCAAATGAAACATGTGGCTCATCCCAATAGGACGACCCAAATTTCCGGTAGATAAGCCCGCGCCAATATCACGTAAAAACACCTTCGCTGTTGCAGTGTAATTAGCGTACATATACGAGACAACGAACCGTAACAGATGCCCAGTAAGGGCTTTAACACCTTGACGACAGCGCGGCAACTAGGTTTGCCGCGTTTTGCACGCCGCAATGGACATTGTGGCAACTATAGTTGCCACACCCTTTACATTCAGTTTTTTCTTGAACGCGCCATTTCTTCCCAGGTTTTTTGTGTTCATTTTTAGGCCATACCACAACATAACCAAGAACCACGCGGCTTATAGAATGACCAAATATTCTTTAGTTTGGCAGAGGTTTTTCGGACCGGACGAAAATATCCGTTCAGTTCATTCCTCATTTTCTCTTCATTAACACGAACATGTAGATAAAAAAGAATATTAGAAGTGAGTACAAAGCTACTCGTGTGGCAAGATATGTGTTTTTACCGAAACAACCACGTCCAAAATAATTTTGAAATCACTAAAGCAAAAGTAAGTGAAACTTGCCTTTTCAATGCTGTAACACATCATTCGACCGCACTTTCACATGTGTACCTTCCAATAAGTTTGACACACCGAATATCAGTGAAAACATTTTGTCGCATCGAAGTATTGCGTATTTAAAGCTCAAAATCCACAGATTTGTTGTGAGGCGGCGGCGCTCGCAGAACCGCTCTGGTCCCACGCGGCCAAAAATGCCAAAACGCGCGATGTCGTCAACGTGTTAAATGCTGGGATCGACGATAAATGACATTCCTTTGTGGGCGAATGGCACCAACTGGGTCAGTTCGCGCCAGCTGTATACGACACCTGTTGTCACCAAACTTGGTGTAAACTCTGGGTAGGGGTTATTTGGGGCTCTGATTACAAATATGACATTCGTTTTTGATGACATTCTTTTTCACGTTAACGTTGTTTAGCGCACATTTCTCGGTTGGAGAGCGCAGACGAGCAGAAAATAGGCTCCAAATAGCGTCAGCGCCGAGAATGAATGTCATATTCGTAATCAGGACACCAAATAACCCCTATACGGAAGTTTACACGAAATTTGGTTGAGAAACTGTCGTGTGACAAAGTGACGCCAACTGGTGCCAGACAGTGCGGCTCACCATGGTCGGCATGCGAATTAACATGAAGTTCATTTCCTGAACGGGAGGGACAAACAACTCACTTAACTCCCATTAAAAACCAATTTAGCTGGTAGTTTGCTAAGCGTTGTGGTTGGATTAGTATACCTTTCACTGAATCGGTCTACAGAGCGGTGTACTTGACGTTGAATCGGGCGCAAGGCTTATCTCCGTGAATTAGGTGTGCGAATCAAGGCCAGTTTTTCACAAAAGTTTTATTACAGACCGAGTATGGGAGTGGAAAAACTTGTTAAAGGCAGGGGTGTGCCTGCCGTATTAGCCCGTGGTCGTTTCCCTGTTAACGACAACAGACATTAGAAAATCAAGTACCATATAATTAGTGAAGGTGGAAGCGCCATTGTTTACACCAATTAAGCATGACTGAACATTGAACTCTAATTCGGAAGGCGACATGCGCTAATTGGCCCCTACACTACGTCATTGTATAACAGAGGAGCCTATGACCTTCAAATTTTATTACAATCACAACAGCAAGCGTTGGAAACCCTTGAGGGCACATTTTGCGATCAGCACTACAGGTTTTGCGCTCAGGGATGAAAGGTATGTGAAGGGGAAAATTGGAACGCATTACTGAAGAAAAAAGACAAACGAAATTGCCGATCAAAGTAATAATTTTTGCTCGGCCAAGCATGCTAAAGCCTGAAAGATACAGCTAACCATAAGAGACAAAGATTGTGGAAGGAAAAGTGAGCAGGGGGACAAGCGAGACGCAGAGATTATCACATTAGCAACCAAGATTGTGTAGTTCAGCAGTTGTTCTTTTATTGTACAGCGTATCTCCCTGAGTACTTGTTATTTTACAATCTGGAATAAAAAAACGATACGGGTTTACTTCCGACAACTGGGTGATTTTTACATTTCTATAGAATGAAAACGAAACGATACAGGTACTTCCGAAACATGACCACAAGAATACATGCCTATATTTAGCAGACTTTTTTTGTCGATGAGATCGAGGGAATGGTTTTACAGCGTTTTACTACGAAAATCCCGGAGTGGTCAGTTCGACCGCAGTTCACTCAGTCGGATCATTTGTGATAATTCGAACACTATCACGGTAGGCTACCTCAACACCCAGTTCAAGCTCAGCTGCAATTCTCTGATTTAGATGGTTCCAAGAGAGGCTTTCCGGCTTGGTCATCTCACTCCCTGCAGCCAGATACCACAAATGGATCTCAACAAGTGGAAAGAATAGTTCAGCAGGTGTACTTTAGGTGAGTTCTGTTGAATTATTATTGGTTATTATAACTTGAAGGGTTAGGAGACGTCATCTCACTGGACAAAGAATGAAGGACAAAGCATTCGGCGTTGGTCACTTTCTGTTAGGGATGCGCCACGTAGTCTACTTCCATTCAAAATCTAAATCCTTTCCAAATCTCCGTAGTATTTTGAATGCAATTTGGTATGCGCAATAATTTTTGGGGACCAGCCGAGGATGTAGAAACAAGTGTTTCCTCTTTCAGCTAGGTCTCTTGCTAATCACCGACCCCGAAAGAATGACACGCTTGGTTGTTTGAGAAGGCGTGCTATAGGGCACCCCCAGAGGCCCGTCGCGCAATCGTTCACGCAGTGAGGGACGCCTACTTGCCACTACACCACTTTCCTCCCTGGAAAACTGTGTAGATGAAGAAATCACTCTACCAATGTAAAACTGAAAAGTGAAACTGCAGAAATTATCGTGAAGTGAAAGCCGTATAAGTTTGACGACAGGGAAGATACCGATCTAGTCGAAAAGAAGTTAATTGTCACTCTTGCAAACGAAGATGATTGAACCGATACACATAGATTTCAAGGTGACGGTGACGAGCAGCGCTGCCAGGAAGGATGGGTGCGTAAAGTTTGGACCTTATTTTGGGCCCGGCTCAATCACTTAGGGATGACGGCTAGTTTTCTATAACGACCACGGCAACGAGAAATTAGAGCGAATATTTTTTCAAGCCAACCAGCCTCCCAAATTATTCGTAATTTGTAGGCAGACACGCACTAAAAGTGCTACTAGTTTTTACCGTAAGTCGAATTCAAGGCGCACTCCAAAAGGTGTCGATCACCCCAAGGCGGTTGAATCAACAAATGTGCCATGCCTATCGTGTTGCGACTCAAAGTTCAGGAGAAATCTGCGAATACGTAGCCAAAGATAATCAGCCCATTCAATGAAAGCATTTAATTTATTTATTTAGTTTCTGGACGCAAGTGAGACAGCTTGAGATTGGGCAAATACTATAAACAGACATCAAAAACGACCCTCTCAGGTTTAGGGCCATAGAATAAACTCCGTAGGCCGATTTTACAACTTTCCTATAGAACTGCGACGAAGAAGCAGGGAACTGACAACGGAATTGCTGTACTGCCCTGACCACTAGAACTGCTGGCGATTTTCGATATTACGGGAACCTCGTATATTGAATACCTTATAGACGGACACGTATTCTCCAAGTTATATACACAAGTTGCCAAGAGCAGTACAAACGTCCTTACAGTAAACAGCGGATTGAAAAGGTGATCTGATAAATACTTTTCCTGCGACGGCGAACATTTTTACTACTCCTGCAGCTCTCGGCGCGTGGTATATGGATGTGACACGCTTACCACGCCACGTCGGAATCGAATCATGGGACGTGCGTCATCTGTCTAATCAAGCTCCAAGCTCGCGCGGCTCGGCTTAATTGGTACCAGACCTGTCTGGGAAACACTGACTTGTACATCGGCTAGCCCCCGCAAGTCATTGTATAGGCCATCATTCAAACGCCACTACGAATGTACAAATGGAAGTAGAATGCGTGCCGCATCCCAAAAAGGGATTGATCAACGGCAAATGCTTTATGTTTTATTTTTCTTACAGTTTCATTCCCGTCAATAACGGGGTATCACATTGATGTCCTGAGGAGTTTTCATTGAGAGCGGTTATTCTACCGAGAAAAAGGATTGAGTAGAAGTCAGTTCTCAACCAGTCAGCGAATTTTACGTACACCAGCTAGGCGCACGAACTTTGCTCATGCTCAATTTTTGCGCATGCAAATATTATATTTTTTCACACGCGATAGGAGCGATTGCAGATGCTGTAAGGATAACACGTTTTTCATTGCATCAAACTTTAACTAACGTACACTAGCCAGTGTATCTGTGCGCCACCATGTGGCGCACGCCGCCACCCAGGGTAGGGTTTATGTAGGCTTATGTGAACAGCAGGGGTAAGACGGGGCTAAAGTAGGTGTCGGAGTCTCATCATCCGAAAAAAGAGATTTCCGTTGACGACAAGTTCGTAGCCCACCTTTCCGCTCTAAAACTAGGGTGCAAAGAATGAATGGAAGCTGTAGGTGACATTATCGAAAAATGCGAAACAACAACCCCGAGCAAGGATGTGGCTATATTTAGGGGAAGGGGTCTCGGGGACGTGCGAACCATGGGTAAGCCACCCATCAAATATAAACTTATGTAAATTAAGACAAAATGTATGTAAAATTTATTGTAGGTTTGTCAAAAATCCAGCCGTCCAGGTCCTGGGAAGATATGTTATTCCACATTGCTGAGAGTATATATGGGTATATTAAGATTGCTAGAAACATTCCAAAAACAAAAGAAATAGTCGTGCGCCACCTTGTGGCGCACGCCGTCCGTTATGGGTTAAAGAACATTCAGGTCAAGCAAAGAAATGAAGAATGTAATGTGAAAGAATGGTACTCGCACAGTACGGTGTTATTCGTTTTGTCAATAGAAAAAGGAAAACGAATCCCTGAAAACGCGTCAACGTGGGAAAGAATCGGTTCAAGAGACAGTGGAGGCTGAGGGGGAAAAGCGACCTACGGAAACGAGGAAGCATTGACAGAGCTGAGCAGCCGAGATCAACAGGAACATGATTAGCGTGCGTTGACTGCGTTGTTCTCAAGGTGGCCCATGCGTGCGCCCGGCGCCTTTCCACGATTTTTCGAGCGTATCAATCACTAGCGACTTATATGGCGAGAGAAAGATTTAATGGGTCCGGTCGCCCAATAAAGGGCCGCAAGGTAGATAAGAGTCAATAATCCTCAACGAATTCCTTGAGATAAGGTATTCGAATTAAGTTCCTGTTTAGTCCCTGTTTCGCGTCCAAGACAGAGTCTTAAAGGCAGTGAACACGATGACTGGAAGGTGGATTTCTCGATGATCTAAGTGTGCCTAGCGAGAAAAAACTCGAAAGGTGAAGCGATTTGAAATCACCCCAAATGTGCGAAGGTTGCCTGCAATGACGTCAGAAATACCGCTCCCAGCCCTAACACCCGTGTCACTGCCCGTTAAGCTTACAGATGTTCACCTCTAATGCTCGACTTACACAATTTCGTTTCAGGTTCGCTTGGGCAAATGGTTGATGCGGGCTCAACGATAACCATGTTACGATGATTATATTGTTTCATTTGAGATCTTCGATACCATCCTTCAGTTACCTCATTCCTCTATTGATGATGATGATTGTGTTTATTTATTTGATAATCGACGTGCCTTGTTCGTCTGGAACGGTATTGAAGATCAACCGATGCCTTCCCCAAAATGTAATAAATTCTCAGAGAATATTTATTTCTGCTTGACATCAACGATTTTTTATGAAGGATTCTTGAATGCCATATCAAATCGCGATAGGTTGTCGATTGGCTCTCGGGGAGGTGGAGATTCGGATTTCCGGCCGACGATCTTGACGTAGTTGATTGGAATGAGGCCGACGGCGGTCGCTTCTTGTAGAACTGAAATAAGGGAGCGGAATCGTAATAAAGCAACTTTAAATTATTTTTGGCAAACGTAGAGGTCTTGGTAATGCGATGCCAAAAACAGATCCACACCAACAAATCTGTGCAGTAACTATGCAGAATTACGATTAAAAAGACCTATTTCAAAGTATATTTAGGGATGTGACTGGTAGAAGAAAGGAGAAAACATGGAAACGGCCACAACCGAGACATGACCCCTCCTTACCGTTAACTTCCTCATGGATGCGACATTGTAATCTTTAACACACTCTCTTTTAAAATGCTAACACTATGACGCAATAGAACCTGCCGCGAGTGATAGATGGACGGTGGGCCGTACCGCGCCAACTGCTCCAAGAGTGAGCCATGCTAGATCGCCGAGGTCAAATCTTTCGGTGCCAATTGCGTGTCAGTTCGCACCCTCAGGAGGCCCGCCTTCCTCCCCACAGGGCAATTTTCCCTTCTTCGACCATCGTTCTTTATCCTCGAAACCTTCTTAGAATCAACCGCATCTAGAATTCAGAATCACTTCGCTCGAAATGGAAATCAGAGGTGCAAGGAGAACCGCCAGTCGAGGGAAAAATAAATAAAAAAAAAGCTATTGAAAACACCACGCGTCACGGATCCGGAGTAAAAAGAGCACGCCAAAGGAAAGAAGAACACGCAAGTAGAGTATGTACTTATTAATGCGCAGGACAGCGCCGAGGTCGCTGCACAAGCGAGCACTGGAGCGGCCTTCCAACGTGAGAAAGTGCACAACCTATGTACTCGTGGACCATGTGGCTCCACCTTTTCGAATGGGTATATTCAATAAAGTGGGCTCGTTAAGAAACCATTCGCGGGTTCTGTTATGACCACAGTGAGGCACAGCTCTTGGTCGCACTACCTCCACGCCATGACGCATGGAAACATTCAATGGCCTATATATTTCCTATTATATTTCTAGAAATATTTATAGGAATAAAGGGAAAAATGAAAGAGATGAAGGCGATGACAGTACTGTAAAGGAAACACACCTTGCCAGAAGCCATCCTCGGACACGCGGTTGCTCCTCCTTTGGAGCAACTCGGAGTAGTTCGCCATTCATGAAGGACAGCTCCTGATCATTCGAGGCTTGGAAGTCGTACAGAGCCTGAAAGCTAATAACTCCACATCGGCTGAGCCAAAAGAAGGCTGGCACTCCTTGGATGTTTACCTACCATATCACACCTCGACCAACACTAGCATCTCCCTATTACGCACCTGAGTCCACCCCACCGCTCTTCCCCTATTGAAATCGACTAGGCAAATTTCAGCACACTGAAAAATTTTGAAAGATTCTGCCCCATTTATTCAACCCTCCCACCATCTTGCCGGGTCTGGCCCTCCTCTTTCAGTCTGCTATTTCCCTTCCCTAAACATTACACTAACCATAAGACAGCCTGAATTTTTCAGTGCAGCTCCCTTATACTTCCTTCACAAGCCCTTTGAAAAAAACCTAGCCGGAAAACATCGCCGATGACATACACACATTTCCATATCGTGCGTACAACTCTTTCCAAACCGCACAATCATGCGCACTAGTAACTTAGCAAGCCCATAAATCGACCCAGCGCCAGTCAAAATAGTTTTGTGATTTTAGGCAGGAGATGGAGTTATCGCGTATCTCAAAGAGGTTACGTGGAGCCACTCATAACCCTTTTTGTGAGCTTTTGGAAAGCTTAGCCATAGCTCCATTAGTTAAACATAGACGATACTTACTTGAGCAGTATAGTGGGCGCCAGTTCCAGTAGCCCATTTTCGGCTCTCCTCAACGGAGCGTACCATTTGTGAAATGGCTTTATAGATGAGCCAAGGACCACCCAAAGCGACCACCCAAAACATAATTGCTGGCCAATTCACAACTGGACGGCCTGGTCCACCGAGAAGATCCGAACCTTAACAGTGAGCTTTTGCAACGGCTTAAAAAAACAATTAGAACAGTTAGAAAGTCTCGAAAAAAGAGCATACCGTATGGCTGTTTGATTTCTCCCCATGCCAATTCCTCCACACTTGCATAATTTGCTGGTTTCAAACGAAGAAGCACAAGCAAATATCGCCACATTCTCTGTATGAATTTGAACAGCGAACAGGGATAGGATAACATGTGTGAGCTGAAATACAGCTGCAATAGTTCAACCTGGAACATTTCTCAATTGAGGTTTCTTCATTTTACTCGTCACACACGATACTGTAAGCTGTAGGCCCCTGAACATGAAAGTATCGTGTTCTAATTGTCCACCCCGTGAGTGAGGGAGGGACCAAACAAGTTTGGCCAAATTCTTCACTTGTGTTGATTTTGTACGGTGAGTTTGCATCCGCTCCCTCGAATTAATCCTTCCACCGTTTTTTTTATCCGCGTCCCTAACCAGGAAGGTCTTTCAGGGCGTGACGAGCTTTTTGAAAACGGTCTTTTGCATGATATAGGGGCAGATGCGGGACCACAGAACCATGTTTAATTTTTCCTGAACGGCCCTCTGAATACCAGAAAAGGGGTCCCTAGTTCGATTCCTCTTGGTGACAAATTTTTGCATTTCGAGTTGACGTTCCAAAATTCGCGCAAAATGGAGTTCTGATTGTTCTGGTTGGTTCTAACTCCATTTTGCGCGAATTTTGGCACGTCAACTCGAAATGCAAAAATTTGTTACCACGAGGAATCGAACTAGGGACCTCCTTTTCTGGTATTCAGAGGGCCGTTCAGGAAAAATTGAACATGGTTCTGTGGTTCCCGCATCTGCCCCTATATCATGCAAAAGACCGTTTTCAAAAAGCTTGTCACGCCCTGAAAGACCTTCCTGGTAAGATCAAGGAATGAAGTGGGAATCGTAAGCGCAAAAACCCGTCGCCATACGATCAAACGAGCAATGACTGATTCTGGCATCCCCACCCCGCTTTGATTGTCTTCCTTTATCGCTGCATCATCCAAGCATCCACTTAGATTTCCGGGTCGGTTAAAAAGACTCAAACGTTTAGTCTGTAGATGTGCTGACGAGCTATGAATACTTCTGCAATGCTAGGCAAAACGAATGTCCTGTTTGCTTGTTCCGCAAAGAACAGAATAATAGACCACATTACAGTTGCTAATGCAGCTGTAGGAAGATGATTGTCGTAGCTGGCATGGCGCATGAACCGAATCAGATCTGGACGAATCCCGCCCTAAGCCAACGCGATCCCTTTGCAGGGTCAGTACAGTGGCCGACTTTCTCGGCAGGTAGAAACACAGAATTTCTACTCAGCTGGCCCCAAGTAACAGTAACACGTCCTACGCGAATCCAAGTCACCTACGATTCTCTGGTCGAAAGTAGACACGTGTCCTTGCCAAGAAGGGATATATCAATGCCTGATGCACTATCCTCTCATCCTCCCGTGTCGAGCGTGAAACGCGTGCAGGGTGGGTCCCAGATTGCTCCTGAAACGCTGTCGTCCTCATAATTGCCAACCTGCTCATTTATGGTCAACTCAGAAACAAGCCTAGTGACATTATCTTAGAAGTGGGCTTGACATATGTCAAGACTCACATGACTCCTAAGTCATCGAAAAATAACTACATTAGAGATCCCCATTCATACAAATTGATAGAGCACACAAGCCTCAGGTCCATCCCTACACTGCTCCAGAATGAATTGCGCCATGATGTTTATTTTCACATTCGCAAATCAGCAACCTGCATTTTCAGTCTGGACAACTGTTCTGCGACTCCAATCACTGCTCGAAACGAACTATATACAGCATTATGTGTCGAGCTGAGCATATTCGCCACAGATGACACTGCATTTACAATAGCCTCTATGGATTGGAAAGCTCCCCGAGATGATTCTGAAAGAAAAAAGGAATATGAGCATTTACAAATGAACGTGCTGCTCCTAGGAGCCAATATTACTGATAACGTGATACCTTCGGCCAATCTGGCAAAGTTGCTCTCGACATTCCCATGACCATATGGAGCACCATACCCACCCATCATCCCATTACCGTACATTCCACCATACCTGGAAAGCTATAAGTGATGTAAGATTTGCCGTCAAAACGCCATCAAAGGTTAGGTGGTAGGGGCCCAATACGGAAACTGCTACTGAAATCACCGCTGTTGGAAAGAAAATTCAAAAGAAACCATTCAAAATGCTCCGGATGGAATCTTCTCTTCACTATCGCCGTTGAGCACTGCACAAGTCTACTGGGCAAAAAAAACAAGGTGACAAAATGAGTGGGCAGGGATCGAAGGGAAAAGTAGCACAGAGGAGAGCGAGACGCAGAACCAACGCATATGTCAACCGCATTCGTCCATCGAAGGAAACAAAGCCTGATAGGAGTTCCCGTCCTACGTCATAACCTTCAGCGCCTTTGCCACAAATCCCTGAGAAAATTCCGAACTTGACCAAGTTTGAAATGCTAACGAAAATCCACTCTCTGACCGTGACTGATTCTCAGCATTTACATTCAAAAATATATTCATTACTTTCAAAGCAGAGCCTAGAGTCGATAAGAGAGAAATCTATCGTGGCGCGCAGGTAGATGGTGGTGTACTCGCTTCGGACCACTCTAGTAAGTAAAAAAACAGATTCCTGAACGGCTTTTTGCAGGCTTCCGACGCTAGCTTTTCAGGGGCACATCAGTCGAGCGGATCCGAATTATTACAGTGACAATATTCTCGGCCAGCTCGTAAGCTGAACGGATTACGAGTGGGAGCAATCGCAAGAATCCCTTCAAACTCGGTCCAGCGATGACAGAAAGTTGCTATCCACCAGCGTACAGTTGTTAGTTGGAATGGCTTCCCCTTTGGGACTCATAAAGATTACGCGACTGCGATCCCTCATTCCCTTCCT